TGAGCATGACCATCCCAAAAGGCCTCACCACATAACTGAGAAAAAAGATGGAGAGCTGGAGTTTCTGCCACAGGAAATGGTGGTTTGAAAGGGGAGCACAGGTGATATATTGAGGGCACAGAAATACGCACTTGTCTTCTCCTTCCATTCTAAAGCAAAAGCCAAGTAGGTCATTGCTGCTTCCCCTGACTCCTGCCTTGAACCACTCAGAAGGTGGCTTTCACTCCTTTGAGACTTTCTTATCACTGTTAACTTTTCACAAAAGGGTACCTGTCAGACTTCTCCCAGATCCATTCTACGGACTCTAATTGAATCTGATTTAGTTCATTAGGGGCATATTGAATGTCCTCCTGCTCTGTGTTATATCAGCTGGAGAAGGGAATCCAAGGTACAGGGCCTACATTCATAAAACTTACAATTTAGGTGGGATTCTGTTCCTACCAGGTAAGAAAATACAGTATGAAAGAAACTATTTCTAGAATTGCTCTCTGGAAGGAAACAGTATTTGTTTAGGATAGTACCTTAATAAATGCCGAAAGTCAGAAGCCTCAGAGAACCTAGGTGTGAGTTGGGGAAAGATGTTGTTTATGCAGATATAGGAAGAGAAAGAGAGGGTGTGAGCCTGTCAGGTGGGAAAAGCGACCTGGTTCATCGTGGAATCTGCTCCCTGCAACCCTTCGATCTTAGAAGATTTAAACCCACAAAATTCTTGGCGTAGGGATTTTTTGCCTTTGATGTTTTATTTTCGTTTGTTTGAGGAAACGTATGGAGGAACTGAAACTTGTGCCCAAGGCACACAGAGTAAAGCAAGTGGAACTATAGGCTCAAAAATGTAGAGCATCCGGAGGAAATTCTATCATTATATTACAGAAATCATGGGGAACCTGACCCCAACCAGCTTTACCAATAGCATTTTGTCCATATCTATCTAAATTCCTAAGGGCATAGAGTCCCTGATGTTTGGTTTTCATATAAATACTGTAACTAGAGAATACCAACAAATGGATGAGCACTAATGTAAAAACACTTGGGCCTGCCATATAGGTGGGAAACTAATCAGAAAGAACAGCATGGGGCTGAAGCCTCTCTGTATATCAGTGAAGAGATTCCTTTCTACTGGAGATCAAACCCATCTTATTGTCCTTCCAATCAACCAACCAGGATTTACTGAGGCCCTATTATGTGCCAAGTGGCAAGAGAGCTGTAGAAGAGGCTGGTCACCCCCAAGGTCTCCATCCCTCCAATTCCCCTATACCCCCCAACACCCCTCAGCCCCCAGAGCCACTGAGGAGGTCACCTGATTTGCCAGATTTTAATGCTCCATTTGCACGAAAAAGGGTGTGGCATGCTCAGAGGGCACACTGGGGGACAATGCTGATTCGTTGCTTTTCAATACCTAATTTGCATTGGCGTAGACCAATCAATTTCTCAGCACCCCTTTTTGTGTGTGCACCAAAAGCCCTAGAATAGCAACAGTTGCTCAGCCAGTTGGTGCTGATGCCATTTTGAGCTCCCCACGGAGAAACTGAGTACAGTCATCACTTGAACCCATCTCTGCACCTGGGGCTTTGTCTCCTCACAGAAACACTTTTCTATAGTAGTTTTTCTTAGTATTTCTATAGTAAATATTTTACTATAACCCAGTATTTATCTGGAGTACTGAGGCTAGGAGAAGTAGCTGACATTTATTCACCAATGAGGATTCCAGGAGTCGCTCTATGCACTCTCCCTACGTTACTGCACTCTTCGGAACCACTCTATGGACTTCCTGCTATGCTCATTTTACAGATGAGGAACCTGAAGCCACAAAGTGTATGAGTAGCCTATCTGAGGTCACAGGCAGAATCAAGTGGTAGACTCAGAATTTGAATCCATCTGTTTACCTCCAAATGCCATCACTCAAAACGATCTCCATGGCAAAGATAATGTTGCCAAAACTCAGGTTCTAAGACACATGACATAAACACAGTGCTGAATCAGTCCAAATGAGATAGAAGAATAAGAACTGGGGTCAGGAAAGGTGACACAGAGTAAGTAAAATTGACCTGGCATCAAGGCTGGGATGACACGGTGGACAGCTGACGGTGCTGCAAGACAGAGAGTGTGGAGCAGAGCCTGGTGCAGGACTGGGCGTGTGTTGGGTGCAGGCTGGGGAAGGATGGCTTAGCTGCTCAAAGGGCTTTTAACTCAAGTCCCCCAGGCATCACAGCCTGTCACATTGCGTTCCTTGTCTTTTTTTTTTTTTAATTTTCTGAATGATTCTTTTATTTTCAATTTCATTTACTTCTGATTTAATTTTGCTTATTTCTTTTCTTGTGCTAGATTTGGGATTGGATTGCTCTTCCTTTTGCGTTCCTTGTCTTAAACAGCTTTGCCACCGACTTTTGCTGTGACTCCAAATACCCCTGTCTGAGTCTCAGTTTTATCAACATAAAATTAATAGATGGGGTAAAATAAGCACTATACTATAGTTTCTTTAAGGTTAAAAAAAAAAGTCTGCGGCTCATATTGTATCTAAAGACTAGGAGAAAAATTAAAGTTATGAAATATCTTTCAGCACTATGGTCAAATTGTCTCTCATATCTAATTGGGCTGGCAGAAGCTGGCCATTTCTTCCTCCTAAGGCTCTGGAAAAGATAGAAAGGGGCTGGCATTGTTGTGTCCTTGGAGCCTCAGTGATATGGCATTGTTAATTCATACAGGCCAGTGGGCAGCAGAGCTGTCAGCATCAGGCACAGGGAAGAGAAGAAAGGCAGACGTGGCACTCCTGAGGCACTTTTGTCATCTGTTATTTTGCAGTTGTAGAGGCATTACCTTGTTTGTTGGTTTAACTTTTTAAAGCTCAAATAAAAATTGGGAGAAATATTATCTATTAAAAGTGCACAAATGACTGGGGGTTTGTTCTCAAATGAACAACTTCTGTTGTTTTAGAAGTTCCCAAAATACCTATGGTAGAAGAAAGAGGAAATAATCTCAAAATAGAAAGTGCTGCTATAATTTGCTGCATCAATTTCATAGGCTGATGAAGCACAAAGATTAGGCTGCTGGCTCCAGCTCAGGAGGTTTCTCCAGGGGTCCCTGGTGTTGCAGCCTCTCATATACCCTGAGCCCTTCAGAGTGGTCAGAGTGGAATGGTCACACGGTACCTCCAGCCTCAGCAATGATTCCGAATTTTATGCTTTATACACATTTAGGAGTCTTTTCAGAAGTCGCTGCTTATCCCCTAACTCTTCCATTAGACATGACTGTTGAAGTTGGTATCTGGCAGAGTTAAGACATGTTTTAACTTGGGGAAGAGAATCTAGAATCAAAGCATTTATGGAGTCAGTTCAGTAAGACTCCTTACAATGACTTGAAGTGTGAAAGGCCTAGGAAGAAAAAAAGAGAATCTTTCAAATCCAGAAGGCAACTTCTGGTTAGTTATCATGTTGGAGGCCCACTTGGGTCTTGGTGGAATGCCTTTTATGAATTCATTGACACTTTGGTTGGTATCATTGGGCAACTCTGTGAACATCTGAATTGTGTCTGTGATCACTCTGTTCTTTTGTAAGCCACCTATTCTTTACTTTCAATTTCTTCCCAATAAATCCATCTCAGGTTCAACAACAAGCAGACTTATTCCACAGTCATCCTTATTAGCTGCCCTTACATATTAATTTTAGTACTCAGTGTTACACTCACTTTAGAACCCTTACTTCTATTACTTTACTTAGAATCCCAGTTCAGTTCTTTTTTATCTTTTCTTTTTTTTTGATACAGAGTCTCACTATATTGCCTTCAGTGGAGTGCTATGGCATCACAGCTCACAGCAACTTCTTGGGCTTAAGTGATTCTCTTGCCTCAGCCTCCGTAGCTGGGACTACTGGCACCCACCACAACACCCAGCTACTTTTTGTTGTCATTGTTATAGTTGTCATTGTTGTTTAGTTGGCCCAGGCCGGGCTGGAATCTACCAGCCTCAGTGCATGTGGCTGGTGCCATAACCACTGTGCTGTGGGCGCTGAGCCAGAATCTCAGTTCTTTAGGTTACTACATACTGTTCATTACCCTGGCATAACTTTTCCCTAGCCCTTACGTTTCTCTGGCTCCCTAAGAAGTCTGTCTTTAGTATTCAGCCACATTTCTACCCCTAGACCGAGCTCTAGTTCTTGAGAATCTTCATGCCTGCTTCCTTATCCATAAAATTTTAATAATGAGTATATGTACCTTGGAGGCTTGTTGTGAGGATTAAATAGATTAGCACACATGATGCACTGGAAAAATGTTTGACCCATTGTAAGTGCTCACTAATTGTCTATTATTATCTTACTGAGCTCAGTGTCTTATTTGCTGAGGCACTACTAGGTCTCACTCACTGTTTTCCAAAGGGCTGCTCCTGGTTCTGAAGGATTTGGTAGAGAAGGAAAGGGAGAGAAGGCAATAGAAGTTGTCTCTCTGATTTTGAGCCCAGCTGATTGGTACTCCAGGGGTACTTTTAAGCATGAGAATGATTCAGACAAAAACTAAAAGCTTTTCTTTCAGTTCAGGTCTGGTGAGTTCAACACAGTTATTTGACTGAAAGGACAATAATAGCACTATTAGGTCTAACTTTAAAAAAAAAAAGTACCTCTTTCTTCCTGTCAGTGTCTCATGAGAATAGGGTGGTTGTCCAGGGCTAACTCAAGGAGCCATCATGTTCTGTTCATCCAGAATAGATCCAGGACACATTAGAAATTCTAAAATAGAGAAGCTGGGCAGAGAGATTGACTTAGGAGAGATGAAGATAAGTTTAAGTAGTTGAGTTAAAAATAAAGCATTTGGATAGAAAAATCTTTATGGAAATTAAGCAAACAGATATGGAAATCTTCAGTGGTCTAAAGCTGATCTCTAAAACTGTGAAAGTAAATCTCCCTCAGGAAAGAATGTAGAAATAGAACTTAAGGCTCAGTTGTCCTACTTCGGTGTGGGATGTTTTTAAACTTGCTATTCTTTTGAGATTGTCCTTTGACCTTGTTTTTCAGGACCAATACCATGGGTACTGTATGTTGGGCTATGCTTAGGAGTTGTCATTGGTGCCCTCATGATTCTCCAAGTGGTACTGCTACTGTTGCGAAGAGGAGGTACGTGTCTGGCGATAAGGAGATTCTTGTTGAGCTCTCTGTGCTAAGCAGGTGCCTCTCCCTGTGAGCACAGACTTGTTCTCAACACTTTAGCTTTCTGCATCAGCCCACTTTTGCACAAAACACTAAATAAACGTATCCCGGGACCTTGCTCAATTCAGTGTAATTCAACATGCGTTGATCCCCTCTACTAGGCTCTGGGAATAAATAGAGAGAAGAGCCACAGGTGTCTAACATGGGAGGCATTATTCAGATTAGCCTAGTTCCGCATGACTAGTACAGCGGTTGGGGTATGCCTGAGGGATGCCTGAGGGTCCAGACAAGTATTCACTGTTCAGGGGGCTAAACTCAGAGAATTTGGGGATGTCATTCAGAAGTCAGTCAGGGAAGAGTGAAACCAATAAGGTCCAATTATTCCCCTGAAGTTTGGGCTTCTCCTTCAAAATGTCCCCTGATTCACTATCTCAGGGCAGTGTGCTCCCCTTAGCCACACTGACCACCACCAACCCACACTGGAGTCAGAATAAGACCAGGACAGGTGCCCTGGCTGGCCTTCTCGTGGTGAGGACAGAACCTCATCCTCATGCCACCAAGCTCATGACTGATTTCATAGGTCACTGTCATTCACATCAAACCTTCTTAGAAAGCCCTTGCCTCAGGACTCTGGTGTTGGTTTTGCTTATAGACGATGTATCAGCACAGCTGCCTACTTTTGCCTCATTTTCCCCAAGTCATCTGAGGAAGAAGCCACTGGCTAATTCAGATACAAATTGTATTGACAGTCTAAGGAGGTAGAGGTGGGGCTGTCACACTTGGCTTGTACTACAAGGAGATGCCAGGGATGAGGACACTAAGCTTAATTTACCCACTCAGTCCAGCCAGCAAAGGTGTTGGGGTCCCATCCCACATTCTTGCCTCAGCTGCACCCTGCTGATCACGTGGTTGTACTGTGACGGGAATGGCGGTCCACCCCACCACAGTTTCCTGCCACCTTCCCCAGCACATGTACCCATCCTCATCTCCAGTCACCATTTGTTCGCTGCAAGCTAGTAACACACAAAACTCTGCCTCAAACCTGTGTTCAAAAGTCTATTTAGTTGCTATACCCTCCACAGACTTTTGGAGAGAGATTCTGTTGGCAGCTTCTGATGGTGTCACCTCCAGAATGTGGCCTGACTCTGAAGGTTTTTACATTGACTTTCTGGCAAGTTCATGTCCAAGAGAAGACACTGGTTAAGTACATGTGTTGGCATCAAACTTACAGTCAAATGCACACTTTGCCACAGGCAAGCTATGTAATCAAGCAAATGGCATAACCTCTCACCTGCAAAATGAGGGTAATATTATGTATTTCATGGTACTCTTGTGGGGGATGCTAGGTCAGTACACGGGCAGTAGTGCACACAGTGGCTTCCGTGGATGGATGGAAGATAGATACACATATACGTGCGTACATGCATGCATAGGCAGGTAAATCTCTTACTGTAGATGAGTGAAAACATCAGTGTTTAAGTCCTATGGCCAGCAGAGTGCTGCACTGGAAAGATCTGGAAACGGTACCTAGAACAGGTTCAAGGTACTTGAAGCTATGGTAATGTAAGTTAACTTTGCTTCACGTAAGAGCTGGGGAGGACATTAAACAGTCTATACCCTCACTTTACAGATATGGGAAGAAAGAGACATTAAACAGTCTATATCCTCACTTTTCAGATATGGGAAGAAAAGAGATGCACTGAGGTGGCCTAATTCCACACAGCTAATGATGACTAGAATGTAGATGCCCTAATTCTAAGGCCAAGACCGTTTTTATTAGACCCTAAGAACTTACTGCCTTTAAGCCAAGTTGAGATTGCTCCTAAAAACCTGTGTTTACATTGGGGGAAAAATGTGAGACTAAATTATCTTGATCCAGTCATCTTTTTGAGCAGTAACAATCAGCCCCAATTATTTCCATCTTTCTGACCATTTAGGGCTGTTCCCCCAATCCTAAATTTCAGCCTGGGCTACCCTGCAAGTCTGGAAGTCCTAGAGGACGGGAGTCTGATCTCTGTAGCACCCAGGAGAGTGCTGGGCAGGCATGTCCAACCTTGCCAACACTCAAGGATTTGAACCAAAGGATATATTTCACAGAACTACCTTGCATCCCCTCTGCTGCCTCCAACTACGTTTCATCATCCTCAAGTCCACCCCTCCATTTTACACACACTTACATGTACGCACGAGCACTCAAGGATCAACCCTGACCAAAAAAGTGAAGTTAGAGCCACCAGGCACACCATGCCCATAACTCACATGAGGCTTTCCTTGAAGACTTTGAACTTCTTCAGTGTCTGCCCGTCATCCCCTCCCCGAGGCTCCCACCCTCGTGTGCGCATTCCACCATGCTCACCACATACGTGATAACAAAAATGTGCCCCTCCTAAGTGTTGTTTCCTCAGAGATGTGTTCCGTTTTTTAAGAAGATGAATTTATTGGTGTTAAAACAAGCATACCCTAAAGACCGTAATTGCCTGTGAGCCAAGCCTCCACTGCCTCCCCTGGACTAGGCAACAATCCCTCAATAAGGTTCAAGCTTCAGTTTGTCACCTTCTCACCATCCTCACTGCTGCGGGATGTAAACAAACGACTCGTGCAATGCTAGAAATAACACTAGCATGGAAAATGCCCTCCACTCATTTGAAGTGAAAAGGCCACATTACAGAGACATATATAGAATGACCACATTTGTGTAAAAAAAATAAGAAAAATCTATGTAAGAACATTAAGTACCCAGAATTGCACCATTCAACGTTATAGTCGCAGGCACATGCGTCTTTTTAAATTTAAATTAATTTGCAGTAAATAAAATTTCAAATTCAGTCTCTCAGTTGCCTTAGTCACAGTTCAAGTATGCAGCAGCCACCTGTGGCTGTAGCGAGCTATGGCTAGGCTATAGCACGTCTCCTCCTTGCAGAAGGTTCTGCAAAGAGCTGGTCTACAAGGATAGACGTGCATCTCAAAACCTTAAAGTAGTTACTTTGGGGAATGAAATTGGGTTGGTTAATGGAGGAAGAGGACTTATATTTTCTACTTTTATGCATTTCTACACAATTTTAATTTTTATAATGAGAATAAACTACTCCTATAATTTACATTTTTTTTTTTAGAAAAACTGGCTAAAAATTAGAATGTTCTATATCTTATTCATTTCCAGAGATGCTAGGCCCCAAGTAAAATTTCCAAATGGTGAGCAACAGAATGACATTGTTTATTTCCATATTTATTTTCCAAATATTCCCAGGTGCATGATCTCTCCCCCACACTTCCACCCTACCCTTCTCCACACACACACCAAGTCCTCCAGAAATAGGGAGGTGCTAGCAAGGAAAACCCAAAAGAGGTATAAATAACTAGCCCTGCCCTCAGGGAACTTGCAATCCTATTAAGAAGCCAGAAAGCACAGCAAGCGAGAGAGATGAACATACCTGAACCGCACCCCAACGGGAGAACACCTGAAACACACTGGGCGTTTGCTATGTGCCAGGCACTGCTCTAAACACTTTACAGATGGGATCTCATTTAATTGTTACAACAGCCCTGTGAGGTGAGGATTTCTAATCCCATTTCACAGATAGGGAATGAGGCAGTAAGTAACCCCAGACCACCGGGCAGACGTGCAGGGGGGTGGGACTCAGTACTTTCTTTCTACAGTGTTCTTAGGGAAGGAGAGCATGCAAAGGGGAGTAAAGACCAGGCAGGTCTGAGAGGGAGTTCTTGCTGGGCACTGAAGGGAGATAACCACTATGGTTTCTTTTCCGCAGGTAAAACGGACCATTACCAGCCAGCAAAAGAAGCAAAAAGCCTTACTATTTATGCTCAAGTCCAGAAATCAGGTGTAAGTTCTTTATGTTCTTTGAGATGAACCGGTCATGTTTCCCGTAGGATTCCTGGCCAGTCCACCTTGCATGTCTGACATTCATGGGTTCCAGAAAGGAGGAAAGTAGGGAAGCAGAAATCAAAAATGAAAGCTCTCATGAAGGTCACAAAAATTCAGTGTCATGTGGGACTGTTTATTATTCGAAACAATGGGAAACACAGAGGTAATCTTCTGGTAATCTGTTTCTTCATAGCAAAAAAAATGAGGAAGCTGGAAACACACGACATAGAACTCTTTCCAGCTCTGGCGTTCTAGGAGTCAATGGTCCCCTGTTACCAAACTTTTCTAAGGAAAAGGGGTTAGGCTTGAGGAGAGAGAGGAAGGTTTGGAAAAGCTATTGTGTGACTTACTGGACTGATCCAAGTTTAGTTAGGCATTTGCAAAACACAAAAGGGTCAAGGAAGGAAGGATCTTGAAAATTCTGGATGTAGTGTAGGTGAAGAGATGGAAGATGATGTGTAAACTGGAGATGGAGGAACGCAGGATTGTAATAGAGTGATCGTTGGACTAAGAAGAGAGGGATGGCAAAACTAGGGTCATGGTGAAATTAAGGAGCAGATGCCAGAAGGAAGAGGGAGGCTAAGAGGATTGTAGTTAGTTGTGGAGATTTTGTGGTTTTCAGTCGTGAGTCGTGAAGGCAATTCCTGATGATCAGAACCTGACCATTGGCCGTTTGGGGAATAAGGGGAGGCAAATTCTGGAGTAGAGGATCAGAAAATTGCAGCAAATGACTATAAATGCATTTCTGAAAGCCAGAAGATGGACTCTGGAACATCTTAGTTCTTCTGGCCCCCTAGTGGCCTGGGGGCTTTATTACACAACCCACCCTCATCCCCTCTCTCAGCCAAACTCCATTTAAATAGATGAAAGTGCCAAGAATAACCCCCACCCCATCTACAAATTTAGTAACCCGCTTCATCTTTACCATGTTGTCTTCTCTAACTTCTTCACCCCATGCTGAAAGCATCTCCCTTTTTTTCCATGAAGCACAACATGCCTATAGAAAAAGTGCACAACACATAATGTCAGTTCAATGAATTACTCTTAAGTGTGAATCTTAATATCAAGTAGAGCAAGTCTTCCCATTTTGTTTTTCTTTAAGAATTTTTGTCTGTTCTTATTATCCCCTTGTACTTTCATGTGTATTTTAGAATCAACTTCTCAAGTAACCACCAAAAAAAAAAAAAATCCTATTAGGGTTGCATTGGATCTATAGATCTATTTGAGGAGAAATTACATATTTCAGTATTTAGTCTTCTAATACTATAAAGCTAGCACCCAGATCAAGGGACAGAACAGGGCCAGTACCTTCTGAAGACCTCTTGTGCCACTTCTCAATCACTTATCCTTCTCTCTTTCCCAAAGATAACTATCTGACCACTATCTAACCACTATCTGACTTCCAGAAATACAGTTTAATTTTCCCCCTTTCTTGAACTTTATATAAAAATGGAATTCTTTATTATTTTTCCTATTGTTCCTGGTTTCTGTTGCTCAATCTTACCTTTATGAGGTTTATATTTGTCTTTGAACTTAAATAAAATGTATTACTCTTCATTGCTTTATAGAAAATCAACGTATGCATATACTAGAATGTATTTGTCCGGTTGACTATTGATGGACATGTGAGTTATTTCTAGTTTGAAGCCATTATGAAAATTACAGCTGTGAACATTCACATGCGTATTTTTTGGTGGATATGTTACTTATTTTTGTTGGGTATATACCTAGAAGTAGAAGTGCTGCATCATAGAGTAGAGATAACCTCAAATTGACTAGATAAGGCCAAATTGTTTTTCAGAGTGGGTGTACCCATTTACTTTTCTATCAACAACATATGACAGTTTCAATGGTTACACATTCTAACCACTACTTAGTACTGTTGGTCATTTTACTTTTCGCCCTATCATTGGATATGTCTCATATGGTTTTATTTTACATCCCTCGAATTATTAAGGAAGTTGAACAAATTTTCATATGTTTACTAGAAATATTAAAATTCTGTTTCTTAAAGTACCTGCTAAATCTCTTGCCCGTAGCCTTTCTATTTTAGGCTTTTATATGAATTAGTTACAGATTAGTATAAGCTTTTTCAAATTCCGGATATGAGCCTTTGACAGTTGTATGTTGGCAAATACCTTCACCCCTCTATGGCTTGCCTTTGAAGTTTCTCTGAGATACCTACTGATAAAGAGTCATTGATTTCAGTGTAGAATAACTTAGTAATCTTTCCCTTTGGAGTTAGCCCTTTTTGTATCCTGTTTGATAAATCTTTATTTTCAGGTTATGAAAATATTCCATCATATTTTAAAAGCTGTTTATCTTTTACATTCATATTTATTGTGTACCTGGAAATGATTTTTGGAGTATAGTTTGCGAGGGATCAAGTTTTGTATTTTTTCCATATGATTATCCAACTGACCATGTTGAAAAGATTGTCCTTGCCCCACTGCAGTGCCATCTGTACCATAAAACAAGGGTCCATATATGTGTGAATCTATTTTGATGTCTCCTCTTCTGCTCCATTGATCCATTTGTTGATACTTCCTCTTGTGCCTGGTTTCTTTTGCTCAATTTTACCTGTATGAGGTTCATATATGTCTTTGAACTTAAACAAAATGCATTTATTTTCATTGCTTTATAGAATATCAATGTATGAATATATTAGATTTATCCAGTTGACTACTGATGGACATGTGGATTATTTCTAGTTTGAAACCATTATGAAAATTACAGCCATAGTGCCATACTGTTTTAATTACAGATTTATTATACATTTTGATATCTGGTAAAAATGACTCTTCCTACTGGTTTTTTTTTTTTTTTTAAGAGTTCTTGGCCTTGCCCAGGCATGATGGTTCTAGCACTCTGGTAGGCCAAGGCAGAAGGATCACTTGAGCTCAGGAACTTGAGACTAGCCTAAGCAAGAATGAGACCCCCCCATCTCTACTAAAAAGAAATATTAAAAAAATAGAAAAATTATCCCAGTGTTGTGGTAGGTGCCTGTAGTTGCAGGTACTCAGGAGGCTAAGGCAGGAGGATCACTTGAACCCAGAAGTTTGAGGTTGCTGTGAACTAGGCTGATGCCATGGCACTCTAGCCCAGGCAATAGGGTGAGATTGTCTTTAAAAAAAAAAAAAAAAAGAGTTCTTAGCCATTTAGGTTCTTTGCGTTTTCATATGTATTTTAGGATCAGTTTGTCGAGTCCCTCCCTTAATGTCCCCAGTCCTGCAGACAAATCTAATTCTGTTCTGTTTGCCAATCCATCAAATATATAAAGAGAAAAATCACATCCCACCACAAATCTTCTTTCCTCCAGTTAACTTTGCCAATTCCTTAACTCTTCTGTCACATTACCAGTTTCCAAGTTCTCTCTCATTAAGATATATGTGCTGTGGTTTTGAGTTGCTCTATACCCATGGAGAGTGGAGGACAGCATTATCCTATACCCAGCATCTCAAAGTACCATCATAAGTGGTGGCAGCACATCTTATAGGGATATGGTTCACTCCTGCATGCTTTGTCTTAGTATTGTGGATTTTATTTCACTCAACGTAACATCAACAAATATGAACCAAAGTGGTATTTTTTATGTGTCCAGAATTGTTTTCTGGAGAATGCAAAGGACTATAGAATCTAAGAATCCAAATTCTTAAGGAATTTACAATTTGTTTGGAGGAACAACACATTATATATCAATCAGAGTGTTTTAAATACACTGCACAGTTTCTATAACATGTGAACGAGGCTTTAAACACCTGAGGAATTTAGGTAAAGGGTGGGCCGTTGTCAGTTGAGGTGATGAAAGAATAGAGACAGGAAGAACATGCACTTAAACGCTCATCGAAGCTCCTGGCTTCAATATTTCTTGCATTTGTACAAAAATTAAGTACTGAATCTTTTTGAGCTTTAGCTTCTTCATCCATAATGTGTGAATAACAACAATTTTTAATACACAGAGTGGTTGTGAGGCAAGAGAGGAGATGTATGTTAGGGTGATGAAGAGCAGGAGCAGCAGAGTGGGCAGAACACGCCCTGTGTGTAGCAGTGACCTGAGTGGGACCAGCGGGGAACCTGGGTGGGACAGACCAAATTCTGTTAAGAGGGCATCCCTTTCAGCTGCCCCTGTAAGAGCCACACCAATTTTGGTTCACTGTGAGAAAGGCCTTTGAAACACAGCACCAACAATAAATAAGGCTGCTTTGGTAGATTGTGAGCACCAAAATGTCCCTTGGGGAGTCTAAGCAAAGCCTGAAGAATGGAGTTCCAGGGAAGATGGAGGAGAATTCAGACTTGGGGAGGAAGCTGGGCCAGGTGACCCTTAAGAGCTTTCTAACTCAGGCTTCTCCTAGGGGAGAGATGAATGGGAACTAGCCTTCTGTTCAGCTAACCTGGTTTATTTGCTTCTCCTACAGGTTCTTCAAAAGAAATATGATCCCCTCCCAGCTCAGGACCCCTGCACTACCATTTACGTAGCTGCCACAGAGCCTCTCCCTGAGTCTGTACAGGTAAGGCAGCTCTGTGCCTCCTCATTGTATAGAGGGAATATGTGGAGATGGGGGAGGGGAGCAGTGTGTGTGTGTGTGTGTGTGTTCATTTATGTAGAAATGGAAGGAAACAGATAGCTGGATCCTGAACTGAGGAAGGCAGGGTGCAGCAAGGAGGATCTATGGCCTTGATTTTAGTTTTTGCTAAAACCCTCACATGGGCCCACAGTGGGTCATGGCTCATTTCCTATTGACTAGTGTTTCTTCAAGAGTCATCCAAGCCAAGGCATTTGGCTTTGCCTTGGATGATTCTTGGAGAAACACTAGCCAGTAGGAAATAAGACATGATCCCCTGTAAGCAGGTATGAGGGGCTTGTGGGGGTATTTAGCACACGCCTTCAGGGTGAGGGGCTTTCCTACAACTTGAACTTTACCTTGGAATTTAGAATATTGTAACCTAAAAATTCGTTTCCTCATATTAATTTGAAAAAAAAAGAAAAAAGAAAGAATCATCCAAGGACCGCATCAAAATCATCAGGCATACTTGTTAAAAATAAGGATTCCTGGGCCATCCGCCTAAAAGTCTATTAAACCATAATGTCCACAGGGAGTACCTAGGGACCCACATGTTGCAAGAGCAACACACCCCAGGTGATTGTGACATACACTGAAGTTTGGGGGTTGCAGCTTGGATCTAGGAATTCTCAAGTCTAGTTGCATAGCAAAACTCGCAGGGGAGCTTTGTGAAAACCTTCTTGCCTAGCCTCTCTCCAGCCCCATTTAATCAGAAAATTTAGGGGTAGGGCTCAGCATGGGTGGCAAACCTGGTAGAGAATCTGAGGTGCAACTCAGAAGGGAACCTGCCAATTCCACCCAATACAGAAGCCGCATGGCCTATGCTTACTTCTAACAGGTATTGTTCCATCACTATGTGAATAAATTCTGAGCTGAAATCTGGGCTCCATTTGGGCTCTTTTAGGAGAGAGCCTGGGATTATAGAAGCACAGAGGTCATAAAAATGCCCACATCCACCTGTCTTCTCAGAGTTCCTACTGCACACATACCCAGAAGGGCCTAAGCAGGTGCCTTGTTTCAGGATTAAATAGACCTTCAACTTAAGGTCTATTCTCTGTACCTTGTCATATCTGAGAGGAGGGTAAAAATATAAACCTCACTTCAAAAGTTTTAAACTTTAAATAACACGGATTTTTAATGAAATTTTCCTTGGGGAAGAAAATAGTGTGTTACAGCTTACATTTTACAGTGAAACTTCCTAAATGCCCCATTCCTTTCTCTTTCTTTCTCTGACTCTCCTCTCCCTAGACTCTGGGCTCTTGCCAGCCCTTTTTAAAGCTTAGTGATTTAGAATTCCCTTGGTTTCTGCTGACTGTGCCCTGGGCAGAACATCAAAGCAAATTTTTCTCCTTGGAAGGGAAAAGAAGGGAAGGGAGGGGGCATGAGCACTGACCCTCAGATCACAGAGACAGTCTCCTCCACTCCCTAATGCTTGGAAGGGAGCTGAGGCCTTCACTGTGAGCAGGGCAGCAGTCTAGGGACCTGAGTGCCGCATCCAGAAAGGCCCTGTCTGCGATCTCTCAGACAATCTTTCAGACACTTTCCTTTTTCTCAGCAGTGCTGTTTCCACTCGGGGCCATCTGAAGCCAGGTCCGTCCACTCACAAAGTTCTTTTGCTTTGTCCCCAGGAACCAAACTCCATCACAGTCTATGCCAGTGTGACGCTCCCAGAGAGCTGACACCAAGGATCCAGTAAAGAGACTTTCTGAAAATAAACACTGAACTTGGCCGCAGGTTTCAAGTTCCCTAAGACAGACACTCTGCACATCTGTACCCTCCTCGGATCAACTCCTGGTGATGGTTCCTCTTTCCACACCTGTGAAACGGACAAGGCAGTGAGGCACTCCACACACCCAGCCTGCGCTGCCGGGGCATAGACACTGGGCGGAGAGCTACTCGACACAGCTGTCCATCTTTGCAGTGTGGCAGAAGAAATGGGCAGTGTGAGTTCAGACTCTGGGCATCCTGCTCTTTGCTGGAACTGGATGATAAAAACCAAAGACAGAGAGCCAGGACACCTGTCTCGGCCCACTGAACACCAGCTGTAAAAGCTCACATTTTGGGTGTCTTTATTTTATTCTGGGAGCTGATCCTGATCACCCACAGACCTTATTAAGGAGGTGGGCATGACTCAGTTTCTCTTTCTGGATGAAAGGGAAAAGAAGAGTGAAGAGTGAATTCTTTATTATGTGTAAAACACTCTGAGATTCTTCTATAGAAGAAGCTAAGAGAATCCGTATTTTATTTGCAAAACCTAGAAGCTAAAGAGTCAATAAACTGAAAAAATGACTTGGAGATCTCTGAGCTTTGAACCATAGAATGAAAACCATCTAAGATTCTTAAAAAGGAAAGTTCTATGTAAACAGCATTTAGTTTAGAAAAAAGAGAAAGTAGCAAGCGCTTGGTAGTGCTGTTACAAGGGAATGTGAGATACTCAGAAGAACTTACCCCAGAGTGATTTTCCCCTTCTCAAAATGATTTTTAAACCCAAGTTCTCTGCTTATTCCCTTGAACAACAAACCTGGAGCCTCTGCTAAGGCTCTCTCCAACAATCTGCCTCTGGCCTTTTCTGCCATCCAGAGCCTCATGGGGTATTACAGAGCAAGGTCTCTGCCAGGCTCATCCTACTCCCTGCATACCTCTTCTCACACTAATCTTATCTTTGAGTAGAAAATTAAGTTATTTTGGCCCAACGGCTTCACATGGGATTGAATGCTTAGTAACTTAGTTTACAGGCAAAAAGAGGCTCGTTTTACAAAGTCCTGCTATCTCCCTACTCTCTGCTTTTAAACAGACCGTCTTCAATTTAAGCTCTTCTTTTTGGCTCTTGCATAACATTGATGAGCCCAAGGTTAACCCAAGGTGTTTATAAGAAATAAGCAATGTACCATTGCATAACAAGGGGCACCAATATCCCAGCTAGATTCTTGGGTCCTCTGTCTTATATCTTACTTCCTCTATTCAGTCCATTCATATTTTAGCTTCTGTGCCCACTGTATCTCTTTCCTGGTACCAGCTTCTGTAACAGGGTTGCTAGTTGTAATCAGCAGAAACTGAATTTGGATTTTATATGTAGAAAGGAATTTATTGAAAAGATATCGATTGGTTTGAATAACTGCTAGGAGGCTCTGTAAAACCATGCTTTGAAAGTGAGCAGAAAAAAAGAGAGACTAGATTGTGACTGGAACCACAGGCAAAATTACAAAACCAGCTCAGGGATAATGACCTTGGGCCCCATAGCTGGACAGCCACTGTCCCCAGCACTGCTGGACTTGAAAACTTGGTGTTAACATTGTTGCTGCTTTGTCTGCCACTAAAATAAGTTCACCAGGGTCTCTTCTTCATCTTTTCATCTCTAGTTCCAATTCAAAGTCTGGGACTGAATGGCTAAGCCTGGGTCACGCATCCATGCAACACTTCCAAGAGATGCTGAGAATTGAATATCTGGTATTTCACAGTGATTGGGAAACTCTGCTCTTTATGAGTTGGGGAATTCTCCAAATAGGAGAAGTGGGGTCCAGCAGCTGGGCAAACAAAAAATAAACTGTCCACTACGCCAACCTTGTATAACCATAAACTTGCTGGCCATCTGTTCTCAAAACCGTGGTGGTACTAATAGGGATGTGTGAATACTGGGGTTTGGAGCACTCATTTTTTTTCACTACAACTCAGATTTCTCTAGAAGCTTAGTTCCCAACACTTGGGTTTTTCCTGTGGCTGAATTTTACTGAATAGGAGGACAGAAATAAAGGCGGAAGAAGAGGCCATCCCTTCAAAATGTCTTGACTCTCTGGGTCCAGTACAGCAAACACTTGGCATTATGTCCCACACTTCCAGACTCTGAGTTACAGCTGGAAAAACAGAGAGCCCCTTCTGGTGGCCTGGCCACTATTCAGTTTGCCCCAAATGGCACTGTTGGGTGAGCATGAGCTGGCCTTTTCCTCAGGCTTAAAAAAATTAAACTGAGACTTTAGAGTTTGATTTCCCCGTGTTCCCCTCTAAAGCTGTTTTCTTTTGACAAAGCATATCTGAATTCTGGGGAAGTCAGGAGGAACAGACCTAGTCTCGGTTTTAAGGCACTAAGGTTCTGAAATACGGGGGGTGTAGTCCCAGCTCTTTAGGACACTTTCTCAGTCATGCAACCAGGACATGACTATTACAGGATGCTGGCTGAAAAGCCACTGCACGTCAATTCTCCTCCTGAAGTTTTATGGTTCTACTTCCTAGAAATGAGTAAATTACTGGCATTGAGGAGATCTCACTCTCGTCTTGTGTTTCCTAGAGCATTTATAACATGGTGATATGGCAACAGGTATTTGCTGGCCTGTGTCTCCACAGCCATAGTTACGAAATCCTGAAGATGGATGATTTGATCGGATGAGATGTGAGGTTGTCCCTTCTTAGGTCATTGACAAGGATTAGCCAGGTGCCCACTTTACCAAAGATCAGGCACCGCCCTTCACATGGAGAAAAGAACAATGTTTAAAGATTATTTAATTTTTTTATCACCACCAGAGTAATCCCCTTCCCTGAAGTTCCCCAAATTCCCCTCGAGGAGAAGATCTAGAGTAAGGTTTCTCAACCGCAGCACTACTGACCTTTAGGGCTGGATAATTCTTTGCTGTGGGAGTGGTTCTGTGCACTTAGGGTGTCTAGAAGCATCCTTAGCCTCCACCCACTAGATGCCATAACCCATGTCCTGCCCTTGAGCAGGACAATCAAAAGTGTCTCCAGACATTGTCAAATGTCCCTTGCGTGGCAAAATCTCCCCCCGTAAAGAAATGATGATCTAGAGATATGCCGGACCCCTAACGAGTCTTGAAAAGACTAAATACACTTCTATATACCAAGAAGTTGGTCTATGAAAAATCATATTTGTTTTACTATTATTCGCATTTATTTTATGGTACATCTATTCCCATGCCATAAATTTTTGTTTCTTCAGTTTCTTCTGGGACATCTTTTTCTTCTGCATTACCTCCTCTTCTGCTTTGGAAACAATTTGTTCCTTTTCAGTAAGGATCATCTGGATATGGCAGGGGGAGCTCATGTATGGGTTAATGTGACCATGGGTTCTATAAGTTCGGAAACGCATCTTGGGTGCTTTGCTCACTTGGATATGCTCAATGACCAGAGAGAATCTACATCTAAACCCTTAAGTTCAGCATTACTCTCTGCATTTTGAAGCATATGCAGGAAAAACTCAGCACTCTTTTTGGGCCACCAACCCTGTGTCCAGCCCCACTGTTTGGCCTGGACACACCTACCAACTCCACCATTGTAATGTCGGAATGGTACATACTGTTTCTTTAAAGTGACATCCTTCAGATACTTAATGGCTTTTTGTATATGCATACTCTTGATGGCCTAGAAAGTTTCACATGTGTTTTTAAAGTGAACACGAAGATTTGAGCCTCTTCACTTGCATGACTTTGTGGGGTTTTCTGGGTCAAGTGAATAGCAAACCATTTTCACAGATCACCTCAGGCCGCTTAGAGGAAGAGCTCAAAAATCATATTTTGAAAGTGACCACCTGGTCACTTGAAGCATGCCCAAAACCTGCTGATAGTTCCAAGGTTACCCAAATATTAGAATTACATGAGTAACTTTTTAAAAATAGGGACGCCCAAATCCAATCTCAAACCCAAATGAAATCTGGGTTGAGATCTATAGAATCACCATCCTAGAGGTCATGAGACAGAAAGGATTTTGCCATGAACTCTTCACAACAACCACAAGAAGGTGATATAGCAATATAGCCCACCCTTCCCAAGCTCACCACCACCGCTTCACTGCATCTAAAAAAAGACGTGAACTTAGTCACAGTGTCAATAACACTGTGGCTGGATGTTCAACAGCTCACAGCACTTATTGGTAGGAGGGAGAGTTGCCTCCTCTCCTTAGAGATCAGGAAGCCCAAGATAGACTGATGACAAGTTCTAATCAAGGTTAACTACAAGAACTTTATTTCATAGAAATTGAGCTCTACTCATTGCTTCTCATTCAACAAACAGTTATTAAGTTTCTATTAAATGTTTGAGCCTGCCACCCAGTGGGAGATGCAAAGAAAGGCAATTAAATATTATGATAGGTGAGTCACTACGTAATCTACTGGGACCAACTGGAAAATAAAGACAAATGCTATGAATAATTACACAGGCTCAATGACTAGGTATATAATTACCCTAATGGTAAAGGAAGTGAGGTGTTTTCAGTAAGCTCATGGTAGGCGCACCCAGCTTTAGGAATAAGGAAAGTAAGTTCATTTTAGGTAAAAAGCTCAAAGTGACAATAGAAATGAATAGAAATGTCCATGACATAGCTAGAGATGAAACAGCATAGCTCATATTTAAAAAATAGAAACAAGACATGAGAGTCACCTTCATTGTCGTCATATTTTGAAGCTGAAACTAGGGAGAGAGAGAGAGAAAGGTAGTCCATTGATAATTTTATACCACATTTAAAAGACAGGAGAATTTACAACACAGTCAAGGATGTAGATAAGATCACTGGTGTCATCAAAGGCAAGGGAATAGAGTCCATGGAGGACAAGTCACCTATAACAGAAGCCGTTGAAGGAGGAAGAGGGCCTAGAAAGGGCCACTAGGTTTGGCTACAGATGATAAAGATTTCCTATTTCTTGTAATGATCTCCAAAACTTACACTCCCACTAATAGTA